AGAAAACATTTTAAGAAAGTTAAAAAATTATGTAAACGATATTCTGAAGTAGTAAATTTTAAATTTAAAAAATTTTGTATATTTTTTAAAACAAAATTTAGATAAACTGACTCAAGCCAGTGTTGTTCTAATCTAAAAAACAAGAAATCAAAATACTAATTATTCGCATAATTACAATTACGTAGTTTACACGAAAATTCGAAAAGATTTATCACCGAGACGATGTCGAATCTAGCTCACCATTAAGTGGCCGGGAGGGGGGAGGGGGAAGGGAGTCAGTAAGAACGTCTCGCACCTAGAAACTCGAAGATTTCGCTCGGCGCACAATAGCAAAAAGTCGCAAGATGCGGAAACTCCGAAAGAGCGGAGAACGTCACGGTACGACTTTATTACACGGCTAGTTCGATTTACGAGTTACTTGAATCCAGGTATTTTCCGCCGCGAACAGGTGAGCTCGGCGGGGAGAGGCGGCGAGGGAGATCAAGGACGTTCGGCGATAAATTTTCTTCGGCTATAATGGGACTCTATGGTGGTGGAACGGACAGTGACGGGGGCGGATATCGGGAGTAGGATTTCTGCGTCGATTCAAGAGGCGACGCCGAAGTAAGATCGCATCGAATGACGTTGAAAAAAAGAGGCGAAGTGGAGGCGGAGGAATCAGACGATGTCAGGATTGAGAATGTCGTTATCGACAAGAAATTTTTCTTGGCGTTTCACTGGCGATTACTTGACGCTTGCGAATGGACGAAACCAGAGGACTCTGTGATGAGCGCCTCACAGGTCGTATACGATCAAAATAGAACATGTCTAAAATTATTTCTCTAGCTGTTCTAGACATAACAAGAGAGAAAGGGAGAGAAACAGTAAAAGGAGAGAAAGCTTCTTAAACGTATTCTATCTTTATTCCTCTCGCCGTATGTACGCACATATATTTGTCCCTTCCTTTCGTCCGCATTCTAGCGGCGTCTTCAGTCTAATACCGGTCTTTCGTTCTAATACCTCGTTCGTGTCTATAAAGTAAACCCCTCATAAAGCATCGAGCTGGTGGCGGGCAACGGAAGAATCCCCTGGTACTGCGGTTTTCACAGTGAATGAGAGTGGTCGAGGATTTTTAAAGTTTTACTCGTCGGGTGGACAAAGAAGAGAACGGTGGGTCGCCAGTAATCCGTTTTAGTCATTCCGTATGCACTCGGGTATTCCTCGGCCGCGGTGCTCCAAAACTGCGAATCGGCGAAGAGGGAAATCAAAAAGAAATCGGAATACCAGTTCAGAATGGTTGAAGAGGAGAAGTGAAAAGTTTGAATAAAAGGCTGTCAAACGAGCTGTTCGAGTGAACTTTATTTAAGTGTTGACGGTATTTAAAGCGGGAATGAAAATACCGATGTAATTTCGACGAGTAAAAGTTTCGATGTTATGAAAAAAAAAATACTGCCCATCAATTATCACGAATATATATTCAAATTTTGATTTATAATTCGATTAAATTCTAAATACGTGTTAGGATAACTTTGATATTAGCTTTGTTGATTAGCTTTGTTGTTTATTTTTGTTTGTCAAACGTAAAGAGAAGTAATAAATCGAAAAAAAAAAAAATCGAAAAGAATACGATGTTCATCCGATATTCTATTCTAGCAATGACCAATTTGTGAAGGAGGATTCGCCCAGCGAAAGAAGAAGTCCTTTTAAATTCGAGTCTGACTGCTTCTTAATAGAGAATCCCCGAGTGGCTATTTCTCATGGCCGAATAGAGTTGTTTAATTCCGTGGACTCGGGATGAAAGAATAGGAATTTGCCTGGGCGTCCGGTCCTCAGCTTTTTATGATTTATTCAGTACAGTGAAATGACTTTTTTCGAATTCGCGCGCTTCTAACATTTTTTTCACACGAAATTGTCTTGTTCAAATATAAAATTATTATGCGTGGATCTAATGATACATTTACCAATATAATATCTATACATACAATTTCTTTATATACAGTCCCAAAATTGACGATATTTTAAAGACAGATTCTTTGTAACATTTTAGGACGGAAAGTCTAATACGAAAATGCCGAGGCTATAATAGTTTTCAAATGAGAAGAATTTAATAAATTACGAATGTGATAGCTAAAATTTCGCGCATTCAGAAATAGCAAGATATAGAGGTCTTCTAGTAACAATCTGGACATGAGCTGTAATTGTATTTGCAGGGTAATAATTTCGTATTAGTTTTAACAAATATTTGCGAGAAAGAAGGACATTTATCAAGAAGAGAATCAAAAGAGAGTGGAGCGAATAATGATTCTCTTCTTTGATTGGTCCCGCCATTTATATAATGCACTGTATGTACACACAATATCATACACACAATAATGCAATACTAGTGTGCAGCACCGTATATTCCATCACGCTCCTACCATATCTTCTACTCATTTCAACGATACACTAAACATGGTGGCTTCCGGGTGAATCCGTTCCACTCTCTCTTGATTCTTTCTGACATTTACTTTCCTTTCTCATTCTGTTCTATCTTTTTTTTAATCTATTTCTCTCTCTCTCTCTCTCTCTCTCTCTCTTTCTCTCTTTCTTTCAGCTGTTAACACATATCAATCAAAAATGACTTTCTTATATCTAGATTCTTAGAGAATCTCTAGATAAGATGGTCAATGTGAAGATACTGAATTTTATCAAAAGCACCTTCACACTGACTATCTTGCCATTCCTGAACACGCGAAATTCTAAGTCATTTTCATCACTTTAAACTCTTTCCATTTAAAATATATAATATAATATAAAATATAAAATATGATCGGTATTTTTGTATTAAACTTTTTATCTTCATGTTACACAAAGAATATGTCTTTAAAATATTTATTGTCAGTTTTAGGACAACGCGTACATTCTGGTCGTTGCTCCCAGCAAATTACGACGTCTGCTTTTCTTAATTCCAAGAGTTTGTAAAATGGAGTCGCGCGCGCATTTGATGGTAGATATGAAATGTCAAAACACGTAGCGTACTTCTGTAATATTCAAAAGGAAATGGTCGAGGGAAATGATGGAACATCGAGAATAACGAGGCGAACTTCTAGTTGGTACATCGACAACTGCAGCGCGTAAAGAAATAGAGAAACAAAGAAAGAAATTGATTATATTTTGAAGAAATTCATCTCTCACAAAAGCAAAAATATGCAAGAAAATTTAATCAAAATATAATTAGCTGAAAAGTATTAAGAAAACTGGAATACCGAATAAAAGCGTAATAACTGAGAGGTAAATTAAGATAAAAATCTTAAAAGATAAATTCTTCTCTTGCGCGTATAAAAAGGACGTTTACAAAAAGACAGGTTAAAGAGGGGTAATAAATTTTCAGAAAATATATACATATAACTGTATATATGTATTACATAAAACTCTATCTTAAAAATAAAATAGAATAGAATGGAAAGAAAAAGAAATCGACTTGTGTAAGCGATGTAATCGTAACAGACTAAGTGAGTACACTAATCTGTTATATAAAAACGGATGGGCCGTATTTCAGCCAGTCTAAAGGCGATTCACTCGCATACATAGGATCTCATTAACTGAACGCGAGAGAATCGAGGAGAAGGAAGAACGTGGCATACAAAGGACTTCCACGTGGCACGCCGTCCGTCCTTCCATACGCAAGAATGCAGGACCAGGATGAATTTTACAGGATTCTCTGCTCGTCGGAGACTCTACGCTCCGGCAAGAAGGGATTCTTCCACGATTTTAGCGGGCACGTAATGCAAACCGCGGGCGATACTTGGACGTCGAGGACATTCGGCCGGATCGATGACAACGAGGGACGGGTTAGGGCGATCTTCACCGACGCGAAAGTAAAAAACGTCGTGACTGACACGCTCGCAAAAGTGAAGCTCCTTTTCAGAGACAAGGATGCTGAGATCTCCAAGCGCAGGCGACTCGAAGGATACCAGCTCGCTGCTGTTGGTGAACACGACAAGGCCCTTTTGCTGTTCAGTCAGGCTGTCTTACGCGCCCCTCAACCAGGTCACTACAAATGTGGTAGAAAATCCATTATAGGACCGAGACAAATTTATTTAAACTTATACTGTTAGATATTAAAGGAATAAGAGTAATCTTTCTAGAGTTAAATAACATTTTATTATCATTACCTATGTTAAAATGTAAAGTAATTCTATAGTTAGTAAACAACGTCCATATTAACATATAAATACATTTACAGTATAAAATAAGCTAAATTTAAGTTAAATTTAATGTATTTTTTTTTAATTAAATTATCTAGCTCTATTGTTTTAGTTACATTAATGAAATATTAAGTAAGCAATGACGACCTATAGAAATAATTATTAATCCAAATTGAATATAATTTAACATGATGAATTTAATAATGTATTAACTGCATATCTCGTTGCTTATATCATTTGCATTACTTATATCGTTAATATTTTCTCGTTTACATTTTTTAATTTAAATTTCTAAACAATAGATATACATATATGTATTACCGTCCTCTTTACCTGAATAATTGATATTTCAGCATATGAATTATCTATCAAATGCACTATTTTTAGATTGATTCGATAAATTTTTAGATACAATTATTAAGATAGATCATTAACCAACGATCGTGAATTTGAATTTATTTTTAATTTTGTGCTAACATAAAATAAATGCACTTAATATTATTTCAGTAATTAGGATGTGACGCTACGAATGTTTAATTAAATCATATATAATTATTATTTATCACAAATATAATGTAATTGCTATTTATTTGATTTAATTATTAATTGCTAATTAATTTAGATATTAAAGCAATAATTTGTGCTAGGGAATTAAAGGTTATTTGTTGATGTATCTATATTACAAGTTCCATCCGATTCTTTCTTGTATCAAATGAATATTTTAATATTTTTATGAATTCTAATGCGCGCGCGTATAGATTTAAAATATGCATCGACAAGTCGATTGCATTTGCTTTGATGGCTCCCGCCAGATCTACATAACAAGTAGAATAAATACTTGAATCTTACTCACCGCGCACTGGCAACATACGTCAGTCGGTCAAAAAGCATGCTTTCATGTCTTCATTGATTTTGCGTCAATAAATTGTACGTGACAGTCGATCGATGAACGGATCTCGAAGTCAAGTAACGATATTTTTTTTTAATCACACGATATTGACAATATCTGTCTCAGGTAGAAACAAGAACGTTGATCAAGGTCTTTCGTTGTCCCTGGCGCTGCTAGGAAGAGCTGAGATCTTTATAGCTCTCAAAGAATACTATTTTGCGCTGGAGGATCTGCGACTGGCCGCCGAACATGATTTGCCGGATAAACTGATGTAAGCATTCCTCAATTTGCAGAATCTCTATATTTTAGAATTGAGAAAAGTCATTATACAAAAAGCAAAAAAAGTAAAAATCCCGAACTATTATGAATAGAATCATAATAAAAGAAAAAAACAGTTGCAATTTCTATAATTTAACTATAATTTATAATCATTTTTTGAGTCAACTAAATATTTTTTTGAAAGAATTATAAATATAATTATTATTATAAATATCGTAATAATAATTATAAAAATAGAGCTCCTAATTATAATTATTTTACCCTACAATTAAAAGATGTTTTTTTTATTTCTGTATTAGATTGCATTAAAACTCTCTTTCTCGCTTTCGCCAAATATCACTTTTTCCAAAAGTGTAATTCAGTTATAGAAAACATATATAATTACAAATACCAAACATTTTTCTCAATAAAAAGAATGATTTCTACTGAAGTATGTAAAAATCTAGCTAGATACAGATCTAAAAAAAATAATTTTATTGGATCATCAGAATAATTACGTAGGAATCTCAAGCATAATAAGTTTTATTGATGAACAACGCTGCAAAAAGTTTTGACATTCTAGCAACTAGTTCGAGCGTCCTATGTAATTATTTTGATGATCTTATGTAAATTTTTAAAGCTAAATTTTAATTACAGTAAAACTGTCTCTTCTATGATTGTAAAATCTATTTTCGATATCTGTAATCGAGGAGAAAGAATTCAATTTAATAATCTAAATAATCGCATTTTCTAGACAGTCCACGCGTAAAGACATGAAGAGAAATTTGATTAGCTAGAGAGCAATTTCGGAAGCGCGATTTTGTCGAATTTTGCAGGTGAATATCAACACGAATCTGCAAATTTGTAGATTTTTGCAACACGCTCTTTGCCATGTGTTTTCCAGCTCTGCTCTCTATGTACAATTTTCCGAGTTACAGTTTCCCTAGACGCACATACGAATTTAATCGCGGGTGTATCTTTACTCCGGGATGTACATGCTCGCCCAGAACCACCGAAGGCTTCGAGCCCAATATAATGTAGCGAGGGATGAGGTGGGATACGCGCGCGTGTACTTCCTAAAATATTCAGAAGGGATGGGCACTTGCCGGGACGGATGGCGGCCACTACCGAACGAAACTAGACTCCGGTTTTAGCCTACCTTCTCTGTGGTGCCGTCATTGGCTTCCCGCTAGGTTAACCTCGTGAAACTAGCCGTACGACTAGGCGAAGTGGCCTTTGAGTAGACGAACAATAAACATTTAATGCGGCGCTTTTGAGAGCGGCATTAACCCTCCGGTCGCCGACCGATGAGGCAGATTAAGCGCGAATGTGAGTGTTGAATTTTTAAATGCCATTAACTTTACGCGAAAAATACGTTATAAAATCATTTAAAATCGAAAAGGAGATTTCAATTGCGTGATAAAGAATCGGTACCGTTCGCTTGACATTTCACTCGATTACGGAAGTTCATAAACTTCAGGAGATCAGGATGAGCACACCGAGTCGCGCCAAGTAGATTCTAAAGTTATTGTCGTCGATACGCATTTGTTTTCGATATTTTAAGTATTGCTCTGTGCTGCGAACACGAGTTTGCTAATGCGAGAAAATTGTCATAAACATAAACATGAGGCTTACATTAGGGAACATTGCACTTTCATTTTGCCAAAAAATCTCGAATTTCTGGTGAAGAGAAAAATAGAAGAGAGAACTTAATGAGTCGCAATTCATCATTTGCTCAGCGAAATAAGGCCAAATTTAAAAAATGCATGCTTTGTGTAACAAGCGCGGGCAATCTTCCAACTCATCTTATATTACTTTTCGAATCAAAAAGAATACGAAATGGCTGATCGATCATTTCATATTAAGTGTTTGAATCACCCTGTACGTGACATGCGATATGATGATATACCGGAGGAAAATATCGTAAAATTCCCCACGGCGATATAATAATGAAGGTAATTCGCTCATCGATGGCGATCGACAGGATTAACAGTATATTTGCCATGATACTTGGTTATAAAAAGAATCTATTAGCTATTCTCAAAAAAAGGGATTTACTAGATGTACATTTAAGAAGAATTTTATTTTTAATATTTCCGAAGTTTCTGTATTAATTCTCGAACACGCTCTGTTAATTAAAAATAGTAGAAAAAATAATTTTAAATTAAAATCGCATGTTTCTGAAAGACAGCTTGAGATTCATATAAAAGTAGTTTTAGCAAGAGAAAGTTTCTCCAGACTGACAGTTCTGGAGAATATTATTAAATAAAAGATTCTGCGAGATCTAAAAGATTTTCATTATGCAGGTATCTAAACCTTAAAATGCCTTAAAATGAAATTTTGAATGGCTCGTGCATTGTTCGTGGCATGATTATATTACAATCTGATGCTACTCGAATTTTCGAAAATTTCGTGTACAATCTCGCTTGCCTCGCTTTAACGATCCACATTCTCTGGTTTATCAGCGCAGACAGACGTAGTTATCATTGCATCAATCGCGAGTAGATAGACGCGAGTGAGCCGCGCTCATCGCCCGGTCGGTGGTCGTACTGCAAAATCGATAATATAAACACTGTGCAAGCCGCGGGCGAGCGGGCGTAGTAGCTGTTCTGTCAATTAAAATCGCAGCTGAATTAATGACGGATAAATGCGGACATGACGGATTACGCAAAATGGATTTTATCCGGCCCACGCCACCAGTTATCCCGTGCCGCAAACGGCGTTATATTCGGGGAGGACGATTCGGGGGAACGTTCTAATTATAATTGCTACAATTATCGATGAACGTTCCGCGGAATTCTCAAACGCGGGTGGATTATTAGAAACTCGACGCGTGTAACGAGATTGAATATTATCATTTTCAACTATTATATAGTATATATATATATATATATATATACATAAATATA